AAAAAATTGTTGTGTAAAATAATATTTATTATACGCAAATTTGACCTGCATAATTTAAAATAAATTCCGTTTTGAAATGAACAAAAATAAATATTTATTTTGTAAAAATATGTGTGAATTTTAGAATTTTATTATAACAAAATTAAAAAAAAAAAAATGTATCGAAAGTATTTTGTTTTTTTTTTGATTAAGTTCGACTACGTTGCTTGAACTACTCCTAAACTAATTAAATTGAGTAGATAATCAATCAACCGAGTATTTGAATACTTGATATATACATAGATTAAAATTATTGTATTATCATTATTAAAAACCTTAACTGGAAGCAATTTTATATTTGATTCCAATCTGAAAAATTGTCTATTTAAAATAAATAAATAAAATAGAAAAAATATATTTTTTTATAAAATATAAACAAATTATATTTTTTATAATATATAAAAAAGTAATATTTTTTTACATATTATTAAAAACAATTTTTTTTTAAAGTATATAAAAATAACATTTTTATAAAATATATACATTTTTTTGTATTTCTAATCGAAGTCTATTTATAAATAAATAGTAAATAAAATCTATTTTTATAAAATGCAGAAATCAAAGAAAAATAATAATAAAATAAATAAATTTATTTATATAAATTATATCTAAATTAAATCATTTAACTAAAATAAATTTAAGATAATAAATAAATAAACAACAATAAATTAAATAATTAAAATCATTTTCGGAAATAAAACATTATTAACTAAATCTAATTGAATATATTCTGATATTTTTTATATAAAACTATCTGCAGCTGGTTTTCTTTAGTCAAATATGTTCCTATCAAAGCTCCAAAAATTGAATATGTTGCTTGAGTAGGTTTATTAATTCTTTGCACACTTGGCTATAGGATAAATAAAGCTGAGCTTAAAAAAATTATAGTCGTAAAGTCATAAAATATGAAATCTTGTAGCAAAATAAAAATTTTATAGAGGAAGTCAGAGACTTTTATATGCAAAGCGACCTTTTTTGAGACCTCTCTAAATAAAAGGACATGTAATATGTTTATCTAGCATTTTCATCAAATTTGCCTACCCCAAAAATGTTTATAGTCTTTCGTTAGGTATTAAATTGTTGTCTTTGGTCGAAATAGTTTGTTTGCTTTATATGTTTATACTCCATTTTTGTTCTTCTGCTGGTTTTTTGAAATGCCGCCAGCGACATAAATAAAGGCAGCTGCAAGAGACATAAAATACAACTACTATAAAGCAAACCAGCCATACAAATGCCTTTTAAGTCGTCCTCGCTTTTTGCCTTTCTACGGCTGCTGCTGCCGCTGCTGCTGCGGCTGCTTCTGGTTTTGCTTTGGCGGAGCTATGCCAAGAAGAATTTCATATTATAAACACGTAGCCAGGCTCAACACATTCGGAGTCTGTTTGCGTTCGGCTCTTGGCTGCAAATCAAAAAATAAAAGAATATGAAATTAAAAGAGGAAATGCGCTGCCAGCAGCATGAGAAAACTGCCAACTTGGCCCAGGCCTGGCCACGAGGTTTATTCAACCCGCGAGTGCTGAGAATGCCGAGAATGTGCCTGCCAGCCTTTGACGCATTATCAACTAATTAATAAATGCTGATGGCGATGTAGTCGAGAGTAGTCCGAGTAGTACATGGCTTGATGTGCCATGCTTATCTTTATGACCGGCCGCACCTAGCCAAAACGGCATTACGTATGCTTCCAAATTATATGAACGTTAGTTGGCCAGGGGCGTGGCGCGGCATGGCAGCCTCACACAACTCTGCACATAAATTAGCAATAAAGTTGTCAACTCATGCGTAAATCTACGCAACACACACTGAAATCTGGGCCTAAAAAAAAATCCTAAACAAATACAATGGCATCCCACAGCGGAAGGCTGCGCAAGGAAAGCGGAATCCGGAAAATGGAAAGTGGAAAGCGTGTACAATAAAACACTTTGCCTAGTGCTAAGCTCCTGCCAAAGTATCTGTGAGCCGCTTTTGTGCTAATGTGTAATACAAATAAACGCCCGAGAGGTATGCCTCCATTGCTGCCAGCGCTCTAAATGTTGTTCTTCATGTTCCTGTTGTCGTTGTTGTTACGAGCAATTAAGCCATTCGTAAGCGCCGTTAGATTATATCTGTGATGAATTCATGTCACCGAATTAAGTATACACCACAATTTAAATGCTTGAACGTTTGTAAGCTATGAAAATCTCGTTTATGTGAAGACTTAGCACCAAAAAATTAGAATTTCTATATAAATTATTATTAAAAACAATTGTGTACCTAATGAAGTAATATAAATAAAAATAATAATAAAATAAAAAAATATATAAAAAATAAGTATATATAAATAAACTTTTTGTATATATAAATATACATTTTTTTTAGTTTTTATACATATATATATTATATAATATATAATATATAATATATAATATATAATATATAATATAT